CAGCCACTCTTTGAGCTGGAGGAGTCAGTCTCAGGCAATGAGAAGATGTAAACATACATTGCTATCCCGTCCCTGTCTTTCTCTTTTTTACAGTTTAGTTGGAGCTGAAGTAGCCATCATATGAGGAGTCAAGAGATTGAGTCATGTACCATCTCTGAAGGCACTGGGGCATGGATCTAATGCTAGCAACCATCTCCTCTGATCTCTTGGGGAGTAGGACATAAACACTCCCTCCCAACTTATTAAGCCATTGTGGTCATGTTTTTCATTTCTTTCAGCCAAATGTGAATACAAATTATACAGAGAACTTTGTGAGAAACTCAGAGAGTTGTAGAGAGATGGATCTAGATGGAGGAGACACATACTTGAGCAGAGTTCATGCTTGGGTGGGCAAGCAGCGTGTGGTAATAGGAGGCTTTCAGGGCAGGTAAAGTATTTGGAGGTGATAGGTAATGGTAATTCTGATAGGTAATTCAGGCAAGTGATATTCTTAGGAAGGTCTAGTAACAGGGAGACTGAATAGTCTACATATTTTGGCCCTTTTTTTTTCTCCCCTTAGTGAATCTCAGCATATTCAGCCCTTTTTCTAGTCTAGGGTAGTAAAGCATTCATATTAGGTGAGATCTTAAGTATCACTGGTCACTGTTTCAACAGTTAATCTTCTCCCATATCATCCATCATTTGCTGGTTCACCACTGTGGTGAAAAGCTCACTTCTGCCCAGACCACCCTATTCATCTTTAGGCAGCACCAAGACTTGTTCAGCTGCATGGGATTGTACCAGGCTTATTGTCTTTCTCGTACCCTGTGATGATGGGTACTGGCTCCTCACCCATGTAAACATTCTCCTTCTCCTAGCTTTGTAGGACCAGCTGCTCTAGTCTCCCTTTGACCTCTCACTTATCTGGTTTACAACTTAATTGCCAAGCAGAGTGATAGACACATCTAGAGTCTAATGAATACTTCAGTATTTATGAGCTAAAATTTTTTTTATTTGTCAGGTATTCTAATTAACTTCAACTCAGAAAAATGATTTCAAGCAATTCTTACTTCTCAGCTTTATTGAGGTGTCATTGACAAATACAATTTTTGTATATTTAAGGTATTCTACTTGATGTTTTGATATATGTATGCATTGTGAAATGATTGCCACAATCAAGCTAATTGACATACTTATCACCTCACATAGTTAGCATTTTTGTGTGCTTGGTGAGAACAGTTAAGATCTACCCTTTTAGCAAATTTCAAGTGTACAGTACAGTACTGTTAAATGTAGTCACTGTGCTCCAAATTAGATCTTAAGAATTTATTCATCTCATATAACCGAAACTTTACACCCTTCGACCAGCTTTGCACAATTCTTACAGTTGTGACATGACCAGTCAAGGTGCATCTAATGATTATCAAGCACATGTTATTTACTCAGTGTCACTAATGGGCCAGGCTGAAAAGCGATGTGCATTTTTCCCACCCACATTTCTTTTGGTGGAACTCAGTTCCTTGGCCATATTTAACTTCTAAGAAAGGCTGGGAAATGTGGGATAGCTGTGTTCACAGGAGGAAAAGGCCAAGGATTTTGAGTGTCATTTGAGTAAGATCTGAATTTAGAGAGCAGAAGTGTTGATATGTGTGAGTATCTGAGGGAAAAGCATTTCAGACAAGAGGAATGGTGAATTCAAAGGGCCTGAGATGGAAGTCATCCATGTTTACTTGAGGAACACCCGAAATCAGTGTTTCTGAGGGAAGTAGGTGAAGAAAGGGCCAAAAGAAGTATCCAAAATTTATAAAGGACTTATTAAAGTCAACACCCCAAAAATAAAAAAATCCAGTCAAGAAATGGGTAAAGGACATGAACAGACATTTCTCCAAAAGAAGACATACAAATGGCCAACAGACAAATGGAAATATAAATCACAGAAATATAAATCCAATCTACAACAAGATACCACTTCACACTGGTCAGAATGGCTAAAATTAACAATTTAGGAAACAACAGATGTTGGCAAGGATGCAGAGAAAGGGGAACCCTCTTACACTCCTGGTGGGAATGCAAACTGGTACAGCCACTCTGGAAAACAGTATGGAGGTTCAGAAAGTTAAAAATAGAGCTACCCTATGACCCAGCACTACTAGATATTTATACAAAGGATACAAACATAGTGATTTGAAGGGGCACATGTACCCCAGTGTTTATAGCAGCAATGTCTACAATTGTCAAAATACGGAAAGGGCCCAGATGTCCATTGACTGATGAATGGATAAAGAAGATGTGATATGTATATACAATGAAATATTAGATATCAAAAAGAATAAAATCTTGCTATTTGCGACAATATGGATGGAAGTAGAGTTTATTATGCTAAGTGAAATAAGTCAGCCAGAGAAGGGCAAATACCATATGATTTCACTCATGTATAATTTAAGAAACAAAACAGATGAACATAGGCTAAGAGAAGGAAAAATAAAATAAAATAAAAACAGAGAGGGAGACAAACCATAAGAGACTCTTAACTATAGGAAACAAACAGGGTAGCTGGATGGGAGGTGGGTGGGGACATGGGGTAATTGTGTGATGGGCATTAAGGAGGGCAATTCATGTAAGGAGCACTGGATATTACATACAGTTGATGAATCACTAAACTCCACCTGTGAAAGTAGTAATATACTTTATGTTAACTAACTTGAATTTAAATAAAATCTAAAAAAAACGGGGGGGCCAGTAGGGTGAGAAGGCAGAAAGGTATGGGGGCCAGATCATGTAGAGTCTAGTATGCTCTTACAAGGACTTGGTTCTTTCTCTAAGTGCATTGTGAAGCTGTTGGGTCATAGTAGGGCTTTGAGCAGAGGAGGGATATGATCTAACTTCTGTTTTTGTTTCCAAAGTTTTATGTGGAAAAGTTTCAAGTTCACAAAAAATGGAAAGAATATTGCAACAAACACTTGTATATCCTTGGCACAGATCCACAGGTTAACCTTTTGGCACAACTGGTTCCTTCCTTTCTATTGCCAATTGATTTTTTGCCGAGCTATTGAGAGTAAGTTGAAGACAACATACCATTTCCCCTTTAGGTACATTCAGCAGGCATCTCCCCTGAAGCCCAAAACAATTGTAACCAAGAAAGTGAACACAGATTCTACATGCCATCCAGTATGCAGGGGTCCAAGTTTTCCAATCTGGACTCTGGTCAGGGTGAATGGATTGCATTGGACTCTTCTGTTTCTTTTGTCTCTTCTAACAAGGGAACAACATCCCCACTTAAAGTTTGTTTGTTTTTCCTGATACTGTCTCTTCTTAAAGAATCCAGGCCAGTTGCCTCACAGAATATTGCACATTCTCTATTTTTCTGATTTTTTGCACGTGATTCAACTTAGGTTAAACATTTTTTAAAAGATTTTATTTATTTACTTGAGAGAGAGAGCATGAAGAGGGGGAAAGAGGGAGAAGGAAAAGCAGACTCCCTACCGAGCAGGGAGCCTGATACAGGGCTCAGTCCCAGGACCCTGAGATCATGACCTGAGCCAAAGGCAGACGCTTAAACAACTGAACCAACCAGGCATCTTAGGTTAAATGTTTTGACCAGAATACTACACAGGAGATCTTGTAGTAGGTGCAAATGGCTCACATCAGTAGGAATCCAATGTTGGGTCCTCCTAGTGCTCATGTGAGTTTGGTAACTTTTAAGATGCTGACCAGCAGATCTGTTATTGTAATTGCAAAATTTTTCCTTTGCAAATTAGTAAGTAATGAGTGGGGTGAGATTTGAGACAGTTTGATTACCCCTTTTTTCCCCAGCAACCTTCTACTGAATGGTTTTAAGCTTAGCTTCAGACTTTTGCCTGAATCAATCATTTTGGGTATTTTACACATATTACTTGTGAAGAAACTGAAGTTGAGTGAAATGACTTTCCTTAGATCAAAGAGCTGTTAAGTAGTAAATCTAGGATTCAAACCCAGAGCTGTTTAACCAAAGTCCATGCTCTTGACCACTGTATTAATTTCCTATTGCTGCTGTAACAAAATACCACAACTTAGTGGCTTAAAATAGCTCAGATACATTCTCTTATAGTTTGAGAAGTCAGAAGTCAAAATTTATAGGGTCATCAGGGCTGTGTTCCTTCTGGAGGCTTCTTTGGAGAGTCTGTTTTCTTGTCTTTTTCAGTTTCTTGAGATTACCTGCATTCCTTGGCTCATGGCCCTTTCTCAGATCACTCCAAGCTCTTGTTTCCATCCTCACATCTACTTCTCTCTCTGATTCTCCTGTATCCTTCTTATAAGGGCTTTTGTGTTTACAGTGGGCCTACCTGCATAATCCAGAATAGCCATCCCATCTCAGAATCTTCACTTGGTCACACCTGCAAAATGCCTTATGCCATATAAGTTAACATATTCATAGGCTCTGGGAATTAGCACTTAGATATCCTCAGAAGCCATTTTTCAGCCTACCACAACCACTCAACAATATTTTTCTCCCACAGTGGTGGTGAATCCTGTTTTCACTTTCTGTTGGGTTTACTCTGAGATGGATCTGAGCTAAAACTTAATTGTAACTTAAATGAAATGATCACCTGACTTTATTTCATAAGCCCCACTCTGATTGATCAACCACAATGGTATTTTGGGTTTGCGGGAATTAGTGTCAGTTTAGAGACAGTGTCTAGTAATTTCCTACAATCCGGGTATTTTCTTTTACAATGCACAGTAAACCTGGTATATAGCTGTGAGTCTCTGTGGGGAAGGCTACTTGGAAGATTTAAGTATACTTTTTTTTTTTTTTTTTTTTTTGGCCCTGGCTCGAGAGTTGGAATTGGCAATGAGCTATGATTTAAGTTATATTGTATGATTTAAGTTAGTCCTTGGTTTATCAGTAAGACTTTGGTGGGCTGCCTATTTGTTTTATTCCTAGGGACACCATAATTCATTAGCTGCTGATTCTATAGGTCATCAGCATATATGCATTCTGATTTTTGATCTCTTTTAACCAGTATAGTAACCATGCCTACCTTGTCTCTGGAGACCAGTGCTACCACCTGTTGACTCCTGCTCTGGGATCCCATCATTTCCATTGACTTCGGGGAGTCCATTTCAGAAGTAACACTTATCACTGCCATATAGAGAACCTCTATGCCATCTCTCACTGTCTATAGAGAATATGCATTACAGAGACTTTCAAGTACCTGTGGTTTCCTCACCAATGTCTTTTTCAAAGCTTTGGTAAAGGAAGTATCCTCTAGACCCTGCAGTGTGATATGTCTTTAACAGGAGGTGATGGGGGGCGCCTGGGTGGCTCAGTAGGTTAAGCCTCTGCCTTCGGCTCAGGTCATGATCTCAGGGTCCTGGGATCGAGCCCCTCATTGGGCTCTCTGCTTAGCAGGGAGCCTGCTTCCACCTCTCCCTCTGCCTGCCTCTCTGCCTACTTGTGCTCTCTCTCTGTCAAATAAATAAATAAATAAATAAATAAATAAATAAATAAAATCTTTTAAAAAAAGAGGAGTTGATGCATATAAATATATTCCTTCTGCTTCAATTTTTTGAAACAGCTTCAGGAGAATAGGTGTTATTTCTTCTTTGAAAGGTTGGTAGAATTCCCCAGGGAATCCATCAGGTCCTGGGCTCTTGTTTTTTGGGAGGTTTTTGATCACTGCTTCAATCTCGTTACTAGATATCGGTCTATTCAGGTTGTCAATTTCTTCCTCGTTCAATTTTGGGAGTTTATAGTTTTCCAGGAATGCATCCATTTCATCTAGGTTGCTTAGCTTATTGGCATATAACTGTTGATAATAACTTCTGATGATTGTTTCTACTTCCTTGGTGTTAGTTGTGATCTCTCCCTTTTCATTCATAATTTTATGAATTTGGGCTTTCTCTCTTTTCTTTTGGATTAGCGTGGCCAATGGTTTATTGATCTTATTGATTCTTTCAAAAACCAGCTTCTAGTTTCATTGATATGTTCTATTGTATCTCTGATTTCTACTTTATTGATCTCTGCTCTAATCTTGATGATTTCCCTTCTTATATGTGGAGTTGGTTTGATTTGTTGTTGATTCTCCAGTTCTTTAAGGTGTAGAGACAGCTGGTGTATTCTGGATTTTTCAATTTTTTTGAGGGAGGCTTGGGTGGCTATGTATTTCCCCCTTAGGACCGCCTTTGCTGTATCCCATAGGTTTTGGACCGAAGTGTCTTCATTCTCATTAATTTCCATGAATTGTTTCAGTTCTTCTTTGATCTCCTGGTTGATCCAAGCATTCTTAAGCAAGGTGGCCTTTAGCTTCCAGGTGTTTGAGTTCCTTCGGAACTTTTCCTTGTGATTGAGCTCCAGTTTCAAAGCATTGTGATCTGAGAATATGCAGGGAATAATCTCAGTCTTTTGGTATTGGTTGAGTCCTGATTTCTCTTTCTATGAAGCCAGCATTACCCTGATCCCCAAACCAGGCAAAGACCCTACCAAAAAGGAGAATTTCAGACCAATATCACTGATGAATATGGACGCTAAGATTCTCAACAAGATCCTAGCAAACAGGATCCAACAGCACATTAAAAAGATTATCCACCATGACCAGGTGGGATTCATCCCTGGGCTACAAGGATGGTTCAACATTCGCAAATCAATCAATGTGATAGAACAAATTAATAAGAAAAGAGAGAAGAACCACATGGTCCTCTCAATTGATGCAGAAAAAGCATTTGACAAAATCCAGCATCCGTTCCTGATTAAAACGCTTCAAAGTATAGGGATAGAGGGAACATTCCTGAACTTCTTTATCCATTTTTATCCATTCATCAGTTGATGGACATTTGGGCTGTTTCTATAATTTGGCTGTTATAGATAATGCTGCTATAAATATCAGGGTGTATGTATCCCTTTGCATTAGCATTTTCATACTCTTTGGATAAATAGCTAGGAGTACAATTGCTGGATCATAGGATTCTTCTCTTTTTAGCTTTTTGAGGAATCTACATACTGAATTCCAGAGTGGCTTAACCTGTGTTACTAACTGGAATTTAAATAAAAACTTAAAAAAATAAAAATAGATGGATACATTAAAATTGTAAATTTATTTGAGCAAAAATCCATTCAAATTAGGCAGCATACCATCTGGTAGCTAGAAAGCAGCTCTGAGGAGAGATGAAAGACTTTTACAAGCAGAAGGGAATGGGAACCAGGAAGTTATACTAGACAAAAGGGTAAAACTCATGTTATATTATGTGTCAACTGTATTTCAAAAAAGGAAAGAAAAGAAGAAAAAAAGTGGGTTGGTTATTGCAAAGGCTTTCCTTTAGGAGATGGTAGGGGTCTTTCTGTTGTATTACCTAATTAGTGCTGATCAGGTGATTCCTGGTTGGCTGGTGTAAGATTCCATTTCTGGGAGAGCCAAAATCGTAATTAAGTTAAACCCCAATTTGGTGACAGCGCTTAGGATAAATGACTCCACGTTGGGCCTGTTGTTTTGCTTTTGAAATTCCAAAGCAGATGGTTCTCAAAGGCTTGTCTGGAAGATATCTTAACTTTTGAGAATCTCTGATAAGTTCCCACTGAGTGTCTTAGTCTGCAAGTGCAAGGCAGGTGGTTTTATGACTTTGTTCAGGAACTATTATAAATTCTTAGTGTGTTCACACATTTAGCTGCATCTGTCTCCAGGGAATAGTGTCTTCCACTTCACTGCTGTGTTCCAAATATCATACAAGCTCCTTTATTGGCAAACTTTATCTCAGAACATAGAGAGGAAGGAATTCTGGGAAATGTAGTTCTAG